CGTCGAATCCTCTCGATACAAGGTTTGCTCTTCCTTTATTTTCCGTTTCACGTTGTCACCCAGTGTATTTCCTCCATTCTCCAAATCAACGCATGTGACCTTGTCCACTTTGTGTTCCATTTGCACTGCGTATTCATTCCGGCCCCCTGCCGTCTTCATTGTGTATATCCTCTAATTGGACCTTCTATATATCTGCACCTTTGATGTACAAATGAGTATTTTAAACATATGATCATGCTCTGTGTATGCTTCACGGGCTTTGTGAAATATACATTATTATTATTATTGTTATTAAAAGTATGTACCGGACTGAATTGTGTTCCACAGATCCAGCTTCGATCCTGAATCCGTGTACTAATAAGAATGGGTTAAGAAAGGATACACAGCTACCTGGTTAGCATGCGCCGCGGACGAGAACGGAGTGAGTTGAGTGAAAACCATTCGAGAAACATGTTGTTTAAGGGACATTAGGTCACAATAATTGATTGAACGCATACAAACGAGGTCTTTTTTGTTTTCCTCGGACCAGGACAGTCGCGTTGTGGTCGTTACAGAATAAACGATCGGCATATAAAGCATAGAATCATTTGAATGATTGGTTGGTATGGGGATACGTGCAAGGCGTTTAGAGGAACCAATACATTCAATCAGTTTGGTGAGGAATCGACGTTTTATTTCTTTGCTTGGCATATCTGCGGTGGAATCGTTGAAGTTAAAAACGACGCAGCACTGCTGAATGTTCTTTAAAACTAATTCTTGTTGTTCAACAGCGGGCACATTTTTAAAATAGGGAAGCAATGTCAATTCAGTTGGTGTCTTTTGTCGATAATAGGATGATCCTTGAGCCCGCTTCTGTTTTTTACCCTTGATTTCTGCCTTGATACGGAAAGGGTCTGGTTTGATGTATTCTTTGGACATGGTAAAGAAAGTGCCTTTCAACGAATGGGCAGTCATACACTAATATACATGGCAGAGAACCTTTAAGGTATATCATCTGGCCTGTCCTTACGAGCAGCAGTGGGTGTTGTCATCCGTCCCAATGGGGTGGGCTCTGGGCCTTCTTCGTTGCGACTGTGTCCTGTGAGTGATAGTATTAATGTAGCTAAGCCAGACCTGGCAGTGGATGTAAGTTGAGCAGCGAGTGCCGGTGACTGATGCTGCTTTCTACTGAGCTCTATCCGGGGTGAGTTACCCCGGGAATCGCAATATGTCTTGTTAGTCGATGATGACTGTTGCCTAAGACAGGCATAGATAGATGCGTTATCCGGTTTGACGCCTACCTTTCTATTCGTCAGACTCTTTATTATACCCACCTTTGCCAGAAATGCATCCCGGAATCCCTGAATGCCAAATTCTACAAAAACCGGCCTTGGAATACGAGCTATGCTTGTTTGCCCGTTAGATAATTACCCAAGCCTGAATATCCTTTTGATTAGTGAGTGGGCAGGGATTCCCACCTGTCTAAGTAGGTTGGAGACACGATGTCTCGGATCACTTTCTCTCAGTCTGACACTGCTGCAGAGAAGCTCATCCATTCTTTTGATGACACTTCTCTGTCTGCCTATTGCGATGCCCGTTTTGTGGCCCAGGGTTTTTACCTAAGAATCCATGCTGGTCACCTCCTTCCTGATCTCGTACAGACTGGCTGTACTAGCATTAATGTCTGTTTGGAGTCGCAGGAGTTCTGACCTCATGTTTGCCTCCAGCGCTTCCAAACTTGCCCTAACTGCCTTTATCTCGAGGTTTTTTGTCGATTGGCATTTCCTTAACTCTATGACTGTCCCATCATCAGTTGTATTGTCATCGTCGGTTTGCTGTTGCTCTGAAGTGCGGTTATGTTTAATTGGCTGTGAGCAGTCACAACAAACGCATTTAAGCTCCACATAATCTAGGTATAGTCGGTAAGTAGGGGTGTATGCTCACTGCAAGCACGATGAAACCACAGATCGCAGGTGTTGCAGGAGATCCCATGTTTACGGCCTTGGAACACTTCCTACACCTCCCGCTGGGACTCAAGGGTGATCCAATAGGGATATGACTAACCATTCTCACTATTTTGTTGAAGTGCGGTAGAGAAAGGTTGGATGAAGTAGAGTGAGAGGTGCTTTAACGAGTAATATCCTCTAACGAATGGAAAAGGAAAGTTCATTGGGTCGCTGGTCAGCAGAATGAAAACAAAACGTGTGGAAACGGCTTACCTTGAATAGATCGTCACAGACTGCNACAGACTGCTAAGTAACTCCTTGGACTCACCGTTAATTCACCTCAATCCTGCGGGTAGCGTGAATGTACGTGTATCGTCGATAATCCTGTCGAAAAGACTCCCGATTTATCCTGTGTTTGAAATAGTTGCCTGCTACGGTTGACTTGAATACAGCGATCCTCTAAGGAAAGTTCGATGGTAATCAGGAACGATCCACCTAATTTGATTGATCGTCCTCACTCCGAAATTCAAAGGAGGATGCACTACATAAACAAATCAATGGAAATTGGACGAACAGCAAACCTTATATCGAGAGGTTTCGGTGTGCACTATTCGTGGGAGAAAGTACGGAGTATTGTTCTGTAAAATAATCGACGAGGGAAGATGGAGACACGCCGAAAAGAGTAAACAGGAAGAAGCAGTAGATATACTCGCTGCAGAGAGTTCATACCTGTTTATCTGCATGTTGCAACAATGCTTGCTTCTGAGGACGAATTTAGTGGCTTTGATCCTTCATTATTGCAGTACCATAGAATTTTGCTGGATCTTTCGCTTTGTGGACGTTTTTGGATCGCGTTGCTCAGCGATCTTTTTGGGAGACACATTACTCAGAGATCATGCAACTTGGAAGAAGAGAATGTCGTATGAACAAAGACGGGTCGATAGGAAGGACAGGAATTAACCTGGCAAGTCACTTGGAATTCCGGAGGGGGGGTTCATTCCCTCATGTCTAGTTCAGTTAACCCTGTTAGTGCTCGGAGTTCATGTGCCTTAGATTGTGATGAGGACGTTAGGATTCCTGATACGCATCTCCACAAAATTGTTGAATTATATCAGGAGATGAGGTTGATGAAACTTAGGGAAGTAGGAGCTAGTCAACCCAGCTCGAATAAGCACGCCACCACATCGAAGCAAGGCAAGAAGTAGCTCAACCCGAGCCAATCGATGTTATGTACCGTCACCCGGCGATAGATCCACCAAAGGTTGAGCTGACACTGCTTGAAGGGAATTTCAGCAGTTATTGAAGATTTATCACGGTATTTGATATATTTGTTAACTGCAGAGTCGGTGATCCGGAGCAGAAGTTCCTTTATTCAAAGCATTATTGCCGCGGCAAAGCAAGAGACACCATCGAAGAGTTTATAACTTTACTAAATGAACTAGGATACTGCCCAACGAGGGATATATTAAAGGAGCCTTTTGGTCAACTGTTTTACGTGTCCCGGACGCTCATAGACGGGGTGCTGGCCAAAGCCCGTAAAACCAGAGACAAAGCTGAGTCGTTAGTAAGGCCAGTGATGAAGATGCGGAACTGCTCTATCGCCCTAACTCAGGTGAACTGCGAAGCAGCCCTAAATATCCTGCACACTTTGGAATCGATAGCCCGATGTCTGCCGGCGGATATCCCACAACAATGGGTGAAGGAAACAGTGATTGTTGGTTGCCTGGGACAAGAACCAAACTTTACCGGACTGACCGAATTCATTCGAACTTGTGCAAACGCCACCATCAGTCTTTTTGGACAACTTTCTAACAGGAACAGGCGAGAATAAAGACATACCACCAAACAGCGAGCCTAAGCCTTCAATGTGCACATCTCAATGTGTGCAACACATCCCAACTTCAGAGTGTCAAACAACAGAAATGGTATCTTCTATGCTACCCCCAAAAATCGGATGCGTGTTTTTACACTACATGTGGTGATTCAAATACCATATGAACGCTGAGCGCAATGCCAACGCGGTAACGTCTTCTCCCCCTAGTTGAAGAGTTTTGCCGAGCAAGCCAAATCTCTCTTGACCGACGGGTGCACAGTTCCGAGGCTGACTCTTGTCCCTGCATCTCTCCTTTCACTCTATGACGAATGCTGATCAAGTATGAATGACTACTGGACTGTTGTTTTGATCGGAGTCCTATAAATAATCCTCCGCCAACCTCCAACTGATTCAGCTTGAAAAACCAGATCTCTACTTCACCGCATTAGAGACTAGAATCACAGGCAGTGACTATTTGATACTTGATTGGATTACGTTAACACTGTTATGACATACCATGAGTATAGTCAGAGCGTTCTCCAAGCATGCAGAGTCGTACTATTGTTCTCGTTATGGGACCAGTAAGGAGGTTTACCAGTATACACCAATATATGCACATGACTGCATGCACGTATGCAAGTATCGGTGTGGATGTGTGCATGTTTGTGCGTGATTGAACGTATTCGTGGCTGTAGGTACAAGCACGTCAGGTGATATGAAAAACGTGACACGCAATTACGGGCGAGGGTAATCAAGAGTAGGCTATGGTGACTCGAGTTTCTTTCGTTTTACATCCCCGTAACAGTCTCTTCCAGACAAACGTTCAAGTGGCCTCTGCTGCATCGGACTCAACTGAAATGACCAAAGAAAATACCGCTAAATGAGGCGAGAATTTCAAAAGCTCTCGAAGCGCATCGAGAACACTGGTGCTTGATTGCGCAAGAAACTGGACGCTAGTTTGGCATCAGCCGCTAGTCCCGTGACCTGAGCTGTACTGACCAGTAATATCCTGTTCTATTTCATGTATACATATCTGGTGGATGTGATACTGCACCCAAAAAATCTGCCTTTCGGAAACAAGAAGCAGAATGGACGTTTGACGAGCAGTGTTGGAAGCCAAGGCAAATAGCTGACAACACAACGGTCTAGACGCACGGTTGGTCTGGACCACTTCTTTTCTGCACAAACTGAACTGTAGTGGTGTCGGATCTTTCAAGAGAAAGCTAGATAAATTCTGGGCAGTGGTTCATCCCGAAGTTGAATGTTGAAAAGTAATCGTTAGTCTCTACTTTCGGGAACATTGTAAGAGATCTGATACTGAACATTAAAATTCTGCCTCTCAGAAACCACTATTGACTCGAAGTGTTGGAAGCCAACGAAACCGCCGCCAACAAAAGGAACTTGACGTGCGATTGGCAAAAGCCACAATTCGTCCTGTGAGAACTGAACTAACGGAAGGGGCGACAGTATGAGACCTCCCACTGAATGCAGAGAAAGTAATTTACTCTCCCGTGCTGATGAACAATTTTCAATCAAATTCGGTTGAAGGGATTTCACCGCAGAAATTGCAAGAACCAGCAGAGACTTCGGAATATCGGTGGCGGCAGATTTCCGCTGGGCGAACTAGTGCGTACTGGCTGCGGCGAGGGCAAGGAGAGAGCTGTTCAGGCTCAAGTCAGTACTATCCTGTAGGAAACCCGACGTATTCCTTTTCTTGTACTTGAAGTATACATGCCTCACGGGGCTCCGTGAACTATACACGTATTAATATTATTATTACTGCGTGCAGGCTTGGGCAGTCTATTTGGAGAAAGTACAAAGGCTAGCCACCCGGATGATTGAAGGTCAAAAGAGTAAGTCATACCAAGACAGGATAAAATACTTCGGACTATTGTCTCTAGATAGGAGAAGACCAAGGGAGACTTACTGGGGACCATTGAGATTGTGAAGGGGCTCTCGGGAGTAAGGAAAGAAAGCATGTTCCAGGAGGGTATCCATCAAGGGACTAGGAAGAACGGGTACAAGCTTCATAAGTGGTGGTGCAACCAGATAACTCCAGATAACTAAGGAACGGACAAACCGGTAACTACCAACTCGCAAGCGAACCAGTCCCAGGACAGAACATGCCACTACCAGGACACCTCACAGGCGAAGTCCTCCTCACGTCCTGCAATTTTGCAGTTTGCAATTTGAAATCCAGCTTCTTCAGTAATACAGTAACAATTAAACAGTCTCCACATACACAGTACAACTCCCGAGTTTCAACGCTCGAGAAGTGGAACCCAACCCACTCGGTGAATGCTTGACAAAAGCAATGTCACCCGTTCTTATCCAAACCTGTATCTTCAATACTAATACCCTTCTGAATAAACATCACAATTGTTGTCTTGACTTAATCTCACCCTATAGACAGTACAAAACTTGAGTATAAAAGCCCACGTAGTGGAATAGAAATCCCATGTTGAAAGTCTTTTAAGACTGCTGCACCAAATCTCCCATTATGACCAAACCCATCGCAACTTTGAAGCTCTCACTGAACATCTCTGTCACTCTGTGCTCTGGTTTTTCACATTTTGCC